ATATATACAGGAGCGGTTTGTTAGCTGGGGGTGCCGGTCAAATTTTTGTCAACTGGACTGTTGACAAGAGATTTCTTGCTGATGATGATTTTCATTCAGTTTTAAGTAAATCCAAACAAACATGTATCAACAGTCAAAAAGCGCCTTGCCGATTTGAAGGCGTTCAAATAGACAAGTAGGATTCACTGCTGTTTTGTCGCGTTTGTTTATCACGCCGGCTCACAACACTGTTACAGTTAAATCGTCTCTCGTCACGTCGCGGGACTTCGTACGAGGACAAACCGAACACGGCTCGCTCAGCGATGACGTCAGTCCGCTGGGCAAATCCATTGACAGTCCACAAAGCGAATAGAATATCCTTTAATTGCCAAATTGGCTTCTGTGTTGCTTATAAAATTAAGAATGAGACTGTCTTGAGCAGCACGGACACATGTATTATTTTATCAGCAATACATATATTTATCATTCAGCCTCTATTATAAGAACATTTATTGTCAGCATGGCACTAATCTTTTTTTGTTTATTGAATTTTTAGCCACCTATAGTTCCTGTTTGGTATTTATTCATCTCTTTATCCCCACTAAAAACTTACCTGGCCCAAAGGAGTCTGGCCGGCGAAAGGAGGTAGCGTCTAGTTACGATATAGCCTATAAGGAGAAATATAACGAGGAGCGATAGGCACTCGGTTGTCAGAGTCTGGGCCGAGAACAGTAAGGCCTACCCTTCCCTTCCCTCCCCCTTTCCACCGTCACCCCAGCAAGACGCCAAGTTCTATAATTAGCATTTGACACACTTCCCCACTTTGTTACAACACAGTGTTCTGTTCTGAGAACTGAGAAGTGCAATGAAGAACGTTTGATGATATAATGATTGGAAACTGTTGTGTGCTAACTTTGTCCAGCTTTGTATAGTATCTGATTGTAGACTTGATCTGCATGGGACACCGTCACTGGTACAGTATCAATTGACTTTATGGCATCATACACTTTCAAGTTGTTTTCTAGGATAGTTGTGTTTCTTTTTTCTGTGCCGATCAAGTCAGTTTCTATTAGTCTCAGTAACTTCCATCATACATTATTCGTAGCATTGTTTCTTGACACTATCATAATTTAGCTCTTTCACATTATATTACAATGTTTACAGTGGTGTTTGTGAATTGGGGAGGGGGTGGGGATGGCGAAAGTAGGGGGAAAATGAGGAGAGAGAGGAGAGAGAGAGAGAGAGAGAGAGAGAGAGAGAG